ACTCTCCTAATCTGTAAGCACAGGTAGCCTAACATCTCAAACTTTAGGCATGTTTTTTGACATGAGATTCAAGACAATAGTTATATTTAGTCTTAAACTCACAGCCCGGCCAATGGCACCGATACCGATACTCTTGCGGCCTGTGCTTCATCTCATGAGCGCTCAATACTTTGCGATCCAAATACTGTTTGTCACAACCGGGCCTTACCGTGGCCATCTGGAATAGCGGCCATACGGATAAGTATACGCGAGAGTCCCATATGGGCGACGTTTTGTGGGCGAGTGTCGGGCCGGACTCGCACCGGAGGCTCAGCTCCTTATTGTGTGTAGTTTTATGCACTTTGAGTGCCATCTTCTTCGCGAACCCTTTCCCGCATTCGTCGCAAATGAATGGTTTCGTATGGACTCTCATATGGGTGTCTATAAAACACTGCCATTTATGTCTATACGGACAGCCCGGCCACTGGCAAGCGATCCACGGCATGTTCGTCAGAGCTTCGGTATGTCGCGCCACCCGATGAGTCGTCAGATCCTTGTGCCGTCTAAACGACTTCCCACAGCCTTCCACATCACACACAAACACCCTTTCCGTCTGATGCGTGCGTTTGTGTCGATAGTAATCGCACCGATCGACGAACCGTTGGTCGCATCCCTGTGCCGGACACCTGTACTGTCGTTGCCTTACAGCCCACTTCTGTTGCCGTTGACGGAACCGGTAGTCGTCGCCCGTGTGGCCCGACATGTGCTCCTCTAACGCCAGTTTATCTGCCGTTTGAAACGGACAGTTCCCGGCTGTGCACTGGTAGGGCTGTCCCAACACGTGCTCACCGGACCTCTTATGCATCGTCAGTGAACTCGAGTGCCGGAAGTGTCGACAACAGGTCTCGTAATCGCAGAAATACCGGCGCCCCGAGTGTTTGGCCAACTGGTGCTCCCGAAGTCCTTTGCGATACGCATAAGATTTGCCGCAGTCTTTGATATCACAGACATATTTGCCTTCATTGTTGTATATGTCTTCACTCATGGATCCCATTCCTCTGGTATGGCATCTCATGTGAGCTCTCAGATTGTCAGCCTTTCCGAACCCCTTCCTACACCCGACCCAATCACATGTATACAGTTTGTCCACCGGTTTACCCGTAAAATCATGACTACTCTTCACGTGTTTCTCTAACTTGACTTTGGATTCCCTGTGAAACTCGCAGTCATTGACAGCGCACCGGTAGCCATCTCCGGGCACGTGATCACCAGACTCCCGGTGTTCTCTCAGTGCAGTCGGTGTCGCGAAATGTTGGTAACAATTGTCGTGATCGCAGAAAAACCTTTGACTCAAATGACAACTATTTCTGTGTTGTCGAAGACCTCTCTTATATACATACGATTTGCCGCAGTCTTTGAAATCGCAAACATATTTGTCGTTCACTTCGTCGGACACGAGTTTGTCTTCACTCGTGTATCCCTTTCCTCGGATATGTTGTGTTGTCGAAGACCTCTCTTATATACATACGATTTGCCGCAGTCTTTGAAATCGCAAACATATTTGTCGTTCACTTCGTCGGACACGAGTTTGTCTTCACTCGTGTATCCCTTTCCTCGGATATGGCATCTCCTGTGAGCTCTTAGAGTGTCAGCCCTTTTGAATGTCATCCGACAGCCAACCCAATGGCAAGCATACGGTGTGTCTACTTTAACAGTCGGTTCGTGAGTCCTTTCATAACACTCTGCACTCTCTTGAGGCACACCATCACCGGAATGGGTGTCGATGTGCGCCACGAACTCCTCTTTGGCTAACGTCTCGAACGGACAGTCAGTGACACAACACCGGAACGGCTGTCCAAACACGTGTTGACCGGACTTCTGGTGCTTTCGTAATGAACTCGAAAACGAGAAATGTTTGCAACAGTTGTCAAAATCGCAGAAAAATCGTCGCCCCGTATGTGACATCTGGTGCTCTTTGAGGGCCTCCGGACTGCTGTACGACTTGTCGCAGTTGTTGTAATCGCACACATATTTGCCGTCTATCTTATGCCACGTTTTCAAGCGTTTTGTCACATTTTTGTCGCAATTACCGCTCGTTTGCCGATAATTCAAACTATTATTATATTCGTCTGATTCAAGTCCATAGCCATCAGTAGTCTTAATGTCAATCCAATTGTCATTGGATGTGGTCTTGAAATGATATCCATGGATGTACTCATTGATGAGACAATCAATACGACTGTCATTACGTGACCCGCATTTCACACGACTGTCGGTGTCATTGGATTCAATAAAATGAAGTAATTGTTGAGTTAATTGTCTATCAATTTCTCTAACATTCAGTAAATTTGTTAAATATTTTCTACATTTTTCTGAAATCAATTCAAATCTCAATAAATCTGTTGACAAACAATTGATTTGACGTTTCAATGCATTCACTAATGAATACAACTCTTCACGACTTAAATGAGACAACGATTCATACAATTCACTCATTTTTCATAAAATAAACACACATTTAATTGTTATTAAAACACAATTTATTTAATAAAAACTTAAATTTAAATGAAATTCATTTGTTGAGTGAAAACGTAAACAAATATCACATTAAATACAAAACGCCTTCAAAAACGTAAACAATTGTCACGTGATTTGTGTTTATGTTTTACTCTCAAAACCTTTGATTGAATTTTGGGTTATTTTTGGCATAAATTGGGTTTTAATTGCAATTAAATTAGTGCTCAAAATGAGTTAAACTTCTGGAGATTTGTCTCAATTAAGTCGCGAAGAGTTATATTCAATGATAAATGAATTGAAGCGAGAAATCAGTCGTTTGTCAACAGATTTATTGAGATTTGAATTGATTTCAAATAAATGCGAAAAATATATGAATTATTTGCATAAAATGACCGAAAGTTTGGATTTAATAAACACTGAAAACAATTTCACGAAACAAATGAATGCATTAAAAGACATCAAAAGTTTGAGTATATGTCTGACCAGTAAATCAAAAGGTAATCAAATGACGAGTCCATCAATGAATAGACTTTTAAATTGTTTTTATATTAAATTTATTAACAGTTTTGAAGACAATTGATAACCAGAAGAATGACGAGTCTATTGATAATGAAGACTATATAAGAAGTGATAATCAATTAAGTGATGACAACGACTTCAATGAATCATGATCCATGAATCAGACGCTGAGATAATCGATGAAAGCGATGAAGAGTTGAGTGAAAGAGGTCTCAGGAAGAAATCGTAAGACATTAAACCAAAGGAAATATAGGGAAAGTGGTCCCAAAGGACAGGGAGGAAGGTTTGCGTGCGATTGGAAGGGGTGTGGGAAACGGTACAGACATGTGTCACATCTCATTGAACACATGTACGAACACTCGGATCAGATCTTCCGGTGCGATATCGGTGACTGTCCCGCAGTGTTCGCCAGTCCCGCATATCTCCGACGCCATAAGAGCCGAACGGATCACTCGATGTACACGAGTGGTGGACATGGAAGTCGCGATCAGACGATACGTGAAACGGTTGCCAAAGGAAATACTATTCAAATAGATCTCAGAGATAGTGAACCGGAAGAATGTGCCAATAGTCCGGGTGATAGTCCAATGTTAGAATGGATCCCGAAGCCAGAATCCGATGATAATCAATGCGATGGCAATAATGAGTCGATTGATCCGTCGATGACTACAAATGCTGACAAACGTCGAAGCGATGGGCAAACCAGAGATCACTTAAACCAAGCGTTGACTAAACGACTGGACACCAGAAGAAGTGCTAATTATTTGATTCAAACAAATGCTAACAAAATTGAACCCAAAGTAAAGGGAGTAAAGTATGTATGCGAGCGGAAAGGCTGCGGCAAAAAAGTTCTTAAATAACCAGAGTCTGAGAGCACACAAACGCCAGCACCTGAGTAAGGGTAGTACAGCAACACCATCGCCGATATACCGGTGCGACGTCGAGGGTTGTTCGGCGAAGTTTCTAAACCGGACGTACCTTCTTCATAAGCGTAAACATCAATTGAATCTGAAATACAACATAATAACCATTCCTTCGGGTCCGCAAAGACATTCAAAAAAGACTTATCATTCGCTGCTCAACTTTCTAAGACACAGAAGTAGTAATAAGACAACTCGTGAATCGGTTCCCGAAGAAAATGTTAATGAAAGGGATCTCAGAGAATGTGTTAACAGTTTAAATGATAATCAAATTCACGAATTGTTGGTGAAAACGGAAATGCTTTCCGATAATGAATCGGAAGGTATTGATTGCGACGGTAATAGCAATTCAAATGATGCGATAATCGATGAAAGAGTTGATGAAAACAATGAAGAGTTGACTAAAAGACTGGACACCAGAAGAAGTGATGAGTTGAGTGCTAACGTAGCAGTTGTTTCAGGCCATGAAGGCATTGAATGCGAGGATAATAACCGATCGGTTTTCAATGATAACTTCAAATCAAATGATGAGGAAATGGATGATAATTCCGAAGTAAGAAAACGTAAAATTGACGGAAAATTTGTCTGCGATTATAATAAGTGCCGAAAAGTATGCAATCATCTCAAAGATCTCCGAAGCCATCAGAGATCACATTCGGGACAAACATTTTTCTGTGACTTTAAGAACTGTTGTCAACACTTCCCGAATTGGAGTTTATTGAAGAATCACGAGAGTAAAGGGAAGCACGTGATGGGACAGGCATTCATATGTGACCGCAATGGATGTGATTATGAGACCACATCTAAAGACCAGTTTAGTGAACACATGTCCGGACATATCAGTAGTGATCTAATGCCTTGGAATGGGAAGTATGGCTGCGATTGGGAGGGCTGTGAGAAGAAGTGCAAAACGGCTCACCACTTAAGATGGCATAAACAGAGCCATACGGGTGACGAAAAGCTAGAAGAGGGAGAGTATGTCTGCGATTATGTCGGCTGTGGCCAGACGTATAACTTCAGACAATTCTTAGATCGCCATAAACTGGTCGTACATTTGATTGGAGACTACCGGTGCAAATGGGAGGGCTGTTCGTTCGTTTGTGGTAACAAACAAATGCTTGAAAGACACGAAAAGGGGCATTCAGGGAAAGGCGTGTTTACGGGTGAGGCGATGTACGGGTTTTGCAAGAAGTCATCCACACGTGAGTCGACCCTAAAACAGATGAGTGATAGCGAAGAAGTGGTTTCAGACATCGAGAGCGTTGAGTGCGACGATAATATGGTATCTGATTCTGACGATAACTATTGTTCAAGTGATGAGGAAATGAGTGATGATTCCGAAGATATGGATTGGAGTGCGAGGACACCCAGGAAGAGGACCAAAACCATTAGACTTAAAACCCTTCAAATTGACGGCAAATATGTTTGCGATTATAATGAGTGCCGAAAAACGTATAAATTCGCTCGAGATCTTCAATTTTCTCTCAATTGAGTGACCATTGAATACAAGTCTTGTGGACTCGTGTGAGACAATTGGTGACCAATTGATGCCATTCTTCACCCAAACATTAATCCCTTAATTACACCACAATTTGATCGCTAATACTCTTCATATGATTGCTATGGAAATGACAATCAAAACAAATACCAAAACATAACACAAATTAAATTCCACGCAAACAGTCAACACGTTTGCTGTCAAAACAGTTTCATACAAAACGTCTCTAAAATTTTTATTCAATACAAAATTTACAAAAGTTTAATTGTTTTTAATAATAAGCACTTTAAATGAGTTAAATTTATAAATTTAACAACAAATTGTGTCACTAATAGTCATTTTCTGGTTTAGTTTGTGTTAACAATAATTCAGTTATTAATCGGAAATTTGAATTACAGCCTCTTTTCGGTATATCTTCCCCACTATTCGTGTCAATCATATCATTATTATCGCAATTAGTATTCAATTCATTATTTGACTCATCAATGGATTCGTGTTTTATAATCACTGCAAACATAACACACAATAAATCATTAAATCAATTAATTTATACGCAAATTAAACATAATTAATATATTATATTTAATTCAATATTACCTTCAAATCTGTTATTAAGTCCATGGCTTAAGTCAATATCTGTTTGATGTTTAATGTCCGGCCTTATGTCGGTCTGGAGACCAATCTTCTCAACTTCCTGTCCTCTCCGCCCATTCCTGTCACCCGTCTGTTGCCGAGGAATGGCATGTAATCTGTTGTTGTCTTCATTCAAATCGCTATATGTTTTGAAAAATTTGTTGCATTCATTCACCAAACACTTGAATTCTTGGCGATTCTCCACTTCTTGAGCACTACTTCCAGCACTTGTGTTATCTGTGTATTCAATGGTTCATTGCAATCAAAATCATATTTAAATTTTCATTTTAAACAATTTCCGGTAATTAATTCAAAAACTCATAATCATTACCTGTAATCCTATCATGAGTTCCGGTAGTCTGGTGCCTGTAGTTCCCCATATGGTGTGTTTTAAAATGAATTCGCATCGACTTATTAGACCAAAACGGTTTGCCGCACCCGGGATAATGGCACCGGTAGACAACATAAGTCGTGTGTGTATTCATATGCACTCTCATATACTGTGCACTTCTGAACACCTTTGGACAGTTAGGCCACTCGCACGGGACGTTTACAGTCGCTTTCATAACCAGATGAGTCTTTTGGTGTCCAGTCAAACAACGTCTGTATAATGTCTTATAATCGCAACCCTCGTAATCACAACTATAGGTCACGTTCTCGGAGAACACTTTATGTCTCTTCAAATGTTTATTGATATAAACATTGCTTTTAGTCCTAAACTGACAGCCCGTATGCGAGCACTCAATCCATGGTATGTCCGGAAAGGCATCGGGATGTGTGTTCATTTGGTGCTGAGCGTAAGATCTTTCCGATTGAAACGATTGACTGCAACACACGAGTCGACCGCCCGTTGAATGACTCAATTGGTGTCTAATTAGTCTAACCCTAAACTCTGTCGTGAAATCACATCCCTGTCTATCGCACCGGTATTGCTGTACATTAGTCCCCAATTTCTTCATTCGTTGAGTCAATAAAGTGGTGGCACTGGTATGCGAATTGACACGTTTCTCACTATTACTGGAACCACTCGTTTTGCCTTTTGAAGAATTTATGGCAACTATTATCTTATCATTTGGTTGTCTAACATATGCCTTATTAGCGCCGATATGTTTCTTCTTATGCTTACGGATATATGACTTGAATTTAGTCCTATACTGACAACCCTTATGCGTGCACTCTATCCACGGTATGTCCGGATAGGCGTCGGGATGTTGTGTCAGTTGATGTTGAGTTAAGTTAAGTTGCGATTGAAATGATTGACTGCATTCACAGATTAAACATTTGAAACGACAGTTCCGAGGATGAGTCAATTGGTGTTCAATTAGCTGTTGTTTATCGCGTGTCGTGTAATCACATTCATGTCTATCGCACCGGTATTGCTGACTCTCGTCCAATGGTTGAGATGATGAAGCAGTGGTGGCACCGGTATGTGAATTATTAGTGTTGCAAACAAGTGGTCGAAAACTAGGCTTTTCTTCACATCTCTTGGATTCGGTGACAATCTGTTTGTCTCGTGTCTTACTTCTTGAATGAAACACTGCTGTGATTTGAACACTATTTTCATCATTAGATTCGTGTCCATCGTTCCCATTGTCTTCACTATTGGTCATCAACTGATCCACAGATTCATCACTTGTTTGATAACCGATTGAAACAAACTCTTTATTCAAATCTGTTTTCATTCAAAATAACAATAAAATGAGTTTTAATTGAATTCAAAGTTTTTATTCACAAATGACTTACTGTTTGACAATTCATTCACTTTTATATCGCTTTCAATGAAAACAAAACTATTTTTAATGTCTTTTAAAGCATTGATTTGTTGAATGAAATGGTTGTCACCGTTTGTGTCAATACTTTCAATACTTTCCATACTTTCACTCAATTCTCGCAAATATTTCACATATTTATCGTATATTTGAACCATTAATTCAAATCTAATTAAATCTGTTTTCAAACATTCATTTTCTCTCTTCAATTGAGTGACCATTGAATACAAGTCTTGTGGACTCGTATGAGACAACTGGTGACCAATTGATGCCATTCTTCACACAATCATTAATCCCTTAATTAAACCACAATTTGGTCGCAAATACTCTTCAATCGTATGATTGCTATGAATATGAAAACCAAAACAAATACCAAAACGTAAACACATTTCAAATGTCAAAAATAACTTTCATATAAAACGTCAGAAAAAACAAAACTTTTTCGTTTCAACAATTTTTTTTTATAAAAATTAAATTTATTAACTCATACAGTAACTCAAATTAATAATCAGGTACAAATATTTAAATTCAATAAAAAATTTATAAAATAACAGTTTAAATAATGTAATCCTATTAAGCAATTGATCTAAAATATAATAATAAATTCATTTTTGGCACAATTTGTGTGCGTTTTGTTTGTTTTACTTGTAAATTATAATAGTTGTACTTGGTAATTGAAGTTGTAATATACCGATAAGTATAAAATATTGCATTAATAATTCAATTCAATGAAATTGTCGTTAATTGATTGCTGTCTCACATTACGTGCAAAATCTTAAAAATCATCAAAAATACAAAATTAAGCAAAAAATAACTATTCGCTGATCTCATGCATCAAATGACCACAAAGTCTTCATTATTGACAATCACATTATCCATTATCTGTGGGAAACTCTATGCCCGTATGCAACAACTTATGGGCATTCATATGGTTCGGGCATTTAGTCCTAAACTCGCAGCCAGTATACCAGCACTCATTCCACGGCACCGATGCAAAGGCCTCGGGATGTAGTCTTAATTGATGTGAAGTTAAGTTGTCTTCACTATTAAACAATTGGTTACAACCATCCGTTGAACAGAGGAACTGGAGCTCAATTGTGAGACTACTTTGCTGTGACATGTCATACGATTTCAGTTCTCTCACATATTCTTCAGGATGTGCTCTCATTCGATGTGCAATCCATTCACGCTTGGATTCAAACGTTTGCTGGCATTCATTGATAGTACAGTTAAACTGATGACAATTGTCCACATTTTGACCACTATTTCCGGCACTCAATTCATTTCTATCACTTCCCGGATCACCACAATTAGTGCCCATAGAATGTGTTGTCTTATGTTTGTTCATGTAATTTATGACTTTAGTCCTATACTGACAGCCGGTGTGCATGCATTCAATGAATGATTTGTCGGGAAAGGCGTCGGGATGTCCACTGAGTTGGTGTTCAGACAAACTGTGTTTTGTGAGGAAGATTCGCTGACATTCATTGATTAGACATTTAAATTGATGATAATTATCATTACGTCTTCCAACACTCAATCCGTGTCCAACCTCTTGATGGTCGTCCACATCACGTGTAGTCGTAATTTCATTAATTTCCGTCGATGAGCACCTGTAGTCAATCTGATCCGTGTGCGCGCTATTCACGTGCACTTTCATTAACTCTATGCTATCAAACACTTGAGTACAGGAACTCCATTCGCACCGGACTTTTGACAACTGAATACTCGAGTGCATCATCTTATGGCAGTCCATAGAGGACTGGCATTTAGTCCTAAACTGACAGTCTGTACGCCGACATTGAATCCACGGCACCGACGGTAAGGCCTCGGGATGTTTGCGCCTCTGATGGGACGTCAAAAAGAGTTCAGAATTAAACCGTTGATCGCATCCATTGACCCCACACTTCAACATACAGTCCGCCGTATGTCCCAAAAGGTGTGTTTTAAACACATATAACAATCGTGTCGTGTATTCACACCCCTGACTGTCGCACCGATAGACACCATCGCGTTTGAGGAGTTCAGCCCTTTGTGTCATTGAAAGGCCAGCACTGGTAGGCGAACCAGTATTTGTGTGGCACTCGTCGGTTGAGCGATGGGAAGACTTGTGTTTAATTAAGTTCTCTTTACGGCTAAACCTCTTCGCACAACCACTAAAATCGCATACAAAGGGTTTGTCGGGTGTCTTATCACCCAAACCTCTGGAAACACTTCTGACATTAGCTGATTCGCCGGTTATATCCCGTTGGACACCGAGATCGCAGGCGTGTATTTGCAACTGATGTTCAATCAATTGTCGTTTAAAGTTAAACACATTATCACAGCCGTCGAGTCCACATTTAAGCTTAAAACGGCTGTCCGCATCCCTGTCCTCTGTGTGTCCATTGATATGTGCAATGAAATGGGCGTTAAGTTTAGTCTTATACTGACAACCCTTATGCGAGCACTTAATCCATGGTATTCCGGGAAAAGTACGGGGATGTAGACTAAGCTGGTGTTCCTTTAATTTTTTCTTATATTTGAACCATTGCTGACACCGGGAGACCTTACACTTGAAACGGCGTTCCGTCGAGTGAATCCTATCGGGTTTCGTGTAATACCTGTGCACACTGTTTGCATGTATTGTATGTCGGCTCGAGTGTCGCGTAAAGTCAGCCCTAAGTTTAGTCCTATACTGACAGCCCTTATGTCGGCACTCAATCCACGGCACGTGTGGTAAGGCCTCGGGATGTCGTGTCTTTTGGTGAGTAATAAAACCGATTTTCGATTTAAACATTTGATTGCATTCATTGACACAACACTTCAAATCGGATGAATGTGTCGATTGGTGTGCTTTGAAGTTATGCTTATATCGGGTCCAGTATTTGCATCGCTTAGCCTTACATGTGTAAAGAGGACGTTCCGGCGACGAGGAACCGGTAGTCTCGGGACAGTCATCGACAGTGGGCACCACTATTATATGCTTCAGTCGGTGTTCAATCAAATCCTCGACACTACTAAACCCGTCGACACATCCGTCATAATTGCATAGAAACTGTTTGTCAGCACTTATTACCACTATTTCTTCCGTAGAATTGCTGCCATCGATTGTCTTCACATTTGATTCGTTGCCATCACTTTGACTATCACTCGAAAGGTTCAATTGAGCCGTTGTTTCGTCGCTATCTTTATGACTGCTTTTAAATACTTTGAATTTTCTACGAGTGTTTGTCTTATACGGCTGTCCAAAGGATTTGCAGTGCTTTCGGGACTTGTGTACCTTCAGGGACGCGGGACTCGCAAATATCGCAGAGCAGCCCCTCTTATCGCACCGGTAGGTCTCGTCTGAGTGCCGGTGCTTGTGGTCCTCTAACTGGTGCTTGAATTTAAATTGTCTCCAACAGCCGTTCCAATCGCACACATACTGTCCACTCGTCCTATTAATTGCCTCAATATTCTTAGCGTTTGTTTCGCTGCCAGCGTTTGATTGCGAGACTTCCATCACTTCATTATTGTCTCCCTTTTCATCGACACCCACTTCACTCGATAAGACATGTCTATCGCAGTCTGTGTCGACATCGGACTCGTCGTCCAAATTGATGACCACTTCCTCCCCAGACTCTCGATTGTCTTGTGTTTCATGATTAGTCTCCAAGTTTTCACTCGTAATCATCAGCTCATGAGTTGTTTGACAACCGATTGATTTGTTCGAAGTCTTATCACTTCTACTCGTGTCATGTCTTTCAGTCAACTCTTCACTCAATTCATTATTTTCATTATCTCTTGTAGTCGTCCACTGATCCACGGATTCATAGCTCGTTTGACAACCGATTGAAATGTATTTTTCAAGCAAACACTCATTGCTTGTGGTGTCCTCACTATCATCTATTGCTTCATTCAATAGATCCCTGTTTTCATCGTCTAATTTGCTGCCATCGACTTCAGTGTCTTCACCACTGGACTCATCCACGGACTCATCACATGTTTGACAACCGATTGAAACAAAGCTTTCATTGATTTCTAGTTTACAATAAAATGTATTAAAAAATAAAGTTTTTAATTGAATTCAAAGTGTTTTGTTAAATAGACATAAAACTTAATGCTAACTACACATTGACTTACTGTTAGACAATTCATTCACTTTTATATCGTTTTCTAATAAAACAAAACTACTTTTAATGCCTTTTAAAGCATTGATTTTCTGAATGAAATCATTTTCACTGTTTGTGTCAATCGTTTCATTCAAATCTCCCAAAAAATGCAAATACTTTTGGCATTCATTTGACAATAATTTATATTTCAATAAATCTGTTTTCAAGCAATCATTTTCTCGCTTCAATGCATTTATGCTTAAAATCAACTCTTGTCGACACAAATGAGACCACACATCACCACCAATTGATCCCATATTGTGATCATTGTCCAGACACAACCACTAATGCCAGTAAAACAAAATTAGCAAGGTTACATCAATTTAACTGTAAAACTTACAGTACATTGTCATTCAAAATATTGGTCATCAAATATTAATACTGTACAATGTACAATGTACAAGGTACTACACTGTAGTAACTATAGTAACTACAGTGTTGCATACATAACGTGGATCACATGGTAGCATCATTACCATTGGTTACATCAATCGTAAACAAAACATCAGTATTAAAAGGTACCAAATGTTAGGCTAAATACTCCATACAATTTACACTAATCTAATATAACCAATATTTGACCCTTTTGTATAGAAATAACAATTTAAAGCCCAATCTGGCGCAAAAACCATTTATTGCAAAAACGTATAGAAAACATCAAAAAGTTTTTAAAAATAACTTTTGGTTTAAATTAAAGTAAATTATATCAAAAAAGTGATTTGATTGCGTGTATATATGATATTCAATGTGTTTAAAAATACTGAATTCATTGCAAAACAATTTTTAAGTATTTAAAATACAATTCATTAAAACTTAACGTTTGTTTGTTATAAACATTATTTTGCAGTCAAAACAAAATTCATGTGATTTGCAAGACTCCAAGTCATAACACACAATATTATCAACGATTACTTATTAGGCCTACAGTTCCTCACAGACACAATTGCCACGCATTGCACTTCTAGGCATTCATTAAGTGTTTTCGGTTTTGATTTGTTTTAGCAATACTTCAGACATTAGTTTAAAGTCCGGCGTCGCAGCAGTCGTCTCGTTGTTATTACTATTGTTATTGCAATTACTATTGAATTCAATGATATTGTCGTCAATTGATTCCTGTATTACATTCACTGCAAACAAAAACAAATAAAAATCAATTAAACTATTAATTCATAACAAAACACATTCAATATACCCGTCATAGTGTCAATCGGTTCCTGTTTGACATCCACTGAAACATTAAAAATACAATAATTTAGTCATTAAAACACTACTAATTTGTGTATTTAATAACACCATTACCTTTCATCTCATCATCAAATACAGGCGCCGGAACACCGAAGTCTTCAGCCAATAAGTGTTCCTTTAAGTGCACATCTAATACACTCTTAATGGAAAAAGTTTGGTCACACCCGTCCCAATCACATCGGTAGGGTATGGCCTCACATGTGCGACGAGTATGAGCTTTCATATGCAGTTTAAGTGCTTTCTCACTATTAAACACTCGTCGACAGGCGTCCCAATCGCACCACCAGTCCTTACATTTTGCTCCGCACTCGTCGGGATGTCGTTTCTTCTGGTGCGCCATTAGTGCTGTCTTAGAGCCATACACTTTGCGGCACTCATTGATCCCACACTTCAACTCACTGTCCGCTGAATGGCTTAATTGGTGTTCATTTAAAATATGTTTAAATCTCGTCGTATAATCACATCCATGTCTATCGCACTGGTATTCCGATACATGAGCCACACTTCCGACAGATTTGACGCGTCTATCAGACAGGGAATTCTCGGGATGTCGTACCCTCTTATGGGCGGACAAATTACGCTCAAATCGCGTCGCGTAATCGCATCCATGGCTATCGCACCGGTATTTCCATTCCTTGGCAGCGCGTGACATCTTCGCCGACTTGGGCCCGGGCGGGGACCTCACGGTCTTGTGTCTCGACATATGACTACTCATATAGATATTGCATTTACTCTGAAACAGACAGCCCTTATAGCGGCAGTCGATCCACGGTATGTCAGGGAAAGAGTGCGGGTGTTTGCGTTTGTGGTGGCCGTCCAACGCGTAACTTGTTTTGAACGCTTGGCCGCACTCTTTGATTTCGCACATAAACTGCCGATCCGTCGACTCAACCGTCGAGGAGTCGTCAGACTTGTATAGACGATATAGAGTATGCGATATAGGCTTAAGTTGAGGGCCTGTATCCGGTACAGCCTTCGCAGGCTTCTTGTGATCGTTGGCTACGTGTCTATTGAAATCCACTTTCATTTTAGTCCTAAACCGACAACCGGTTCGCTGGCACTGAATCCACGGCACGTCCAGCAACTCCTTATCAATGGCTACGCCATGGCTTCGATCAGACTTAGAGATGGTCACAAAGCGAGGCACAGGCGGTACAGTCATCGGTAGAGTCCTCTGCACCCTCCTCTTGACCACCAACTCATGCATGCGTTTGTGGTAAACATAACTCTCTTCGTTGGAAAACCATTCGCCGCACTCTTTGTATTTACAGACAAACCAATCGTCAAACAGTTTATTACCGCCACTCGATTGACTCGTTGTGTGTTTGTCATCCACACTATTACCCGTTATCTTATCATTTAATCCGTGGCTAACATCACATTCGTGGAGGACTTTAAATTCTTTGGCATCTCTTTGACTATCTTTCGCCACATTCTTCTGAACCATTGTTTTACTAATTTTAGGTTTACTTTCAATAGATTTCGGTTTAATTTCACTAGTTTTGGGCTTAATTTCAATTGAATTTCGTTTGTTTTTAATAAGTTTCGGTTTCTTTCCAATGGTTTTCCATTCAATCACTTCTATATTGTTTTCAATTCGTTTGGCTTTACTATCAATGAGTTTGTGTTGCCTTTTGGTGTTAGCCTTCAAACTCTTGGCTATAGTCCTCTGAAATCCTTTACCTTTTGCGGCACATCCCTGTCCATCAGTTCTGGGCTGCGTTCGCGACTGATGTACCTTCAGATACACGGGACTGGCGAACGTCGCCGAACACCCCCTCCTATCGCACCGGTAGGTCATACCCCTGTGCAGCAGTTTATGGGCCTCTAAATGGTGTCTGAATTTATACCGTTTCTCACATCCATTCCAATGGCACACCAAATGATTGAGTCGTTTCCGTTTCGATGGACTCTTCTTATCGTTCACTTCCGTCAGAATTTTACCACTTCCTCGGAAGTCATGAGAAAAGCAATTGAGAGACGATTAGACTAGGGACTAAACTCGAGATTAATTCACGAGTAACGGAGCCCAAAACAAGCCAGAAGACCTGTAGTTGACTGCGTACCTAACCCTTGGCTAACTGACTGAGTTGCGATCGGAATCTGGTTTTTAAGACAACAAAAAGTTTTTTAATTAAAAGTGTCTTTAAATTGAATGATAAATACAAATGTCTTACGGTTTGCGTGAAAATCATCGAGTAAGTGATTTTGCATTAAAATGAAACAACTCTTCGTGTCCTTCAATACATTGATCTCTAGTATCAACGACTCGAGTCTTAAGCGGTGATCAAAACCGCTGCAAACGTGTCCAACATTTCGCAGATCTGTTAAATAGTTTTCGCATTTCTTTGAAATCAATTGATATCTCATGAGATCTGTTGACAAACAATTGACTTCGCGTTTCAACGCATATATCGTTGAATACAACTGCCGGCGCCTCAGTCCGGACAACACATCACCACTAATTGATCCCATGATTAGTCACGTAAACATTGCAAACATATTTAAAACACAGATTTGATTGTAATTACGGTTTAAATACCGAAACCAAACGAAATGTAAACACGTTTTAAGCGCTCAATGTTTGGGTGAAAAACCATTTCATATAAAACGTCCACAAAAATAGGTTTCAAAACTTTGTTTCAAACTTTTATGTTCAGGATTTAAATCACAATTACCATAACAACTGGATGTAAAAGTGACTGAATTAAACTTAATCAAAGTTAAACGGGTGACTTATAATACATATATTGGCTATCATATAAATTTGTTTCATATAAAATAGATATTCTGATCGTAAGCAAGGTAATGTTCTTAAGTTTAGAAAAATTTATTTATTACTGGTAATTCAATTCAATAAAATCAATGAATAAATTTAAAATACAATTAATTTAATAATAAAATCAAACGATAAATGAATCAAAACACATATTAAATAACTTTAATACAAATAAAACACAACTTATAAGACATTTCATAAACCAATCACTTCTTCGGACTCTTCACACGTCTGTCCATAAGATTGCATTCATTTGTCTTACATTTGGACACGACTTGAGATCCATTCTGATGAGTGTTTAAGACATGTCTCTCAAGTGTACCCTTTTTTGAGGTCCTGTACTCACATCCTAGCCAATGACACGGATGACTACCTACTGGGAGGCCCTTTTGTCTCCTCTGGTGATCCCTTTCGTGGCCCCAGAGGTATGATTTAACTAAGAATGTCTTCTCACAGCCGGGCCAATGGCACCGGTAGACTATACAGTCCGCCGTATGTCCCAAAAGGTGTGTTTTAAACACATATAACAATCGTGTCGTGTATTCACACCCCTGACTGTCGCACCGATAGACACCATCGCGTTTGAGGAGTTCAGCCCTTTGTGTCAATGAAAGGCCAGCACTGGTAGACGAACCAGTATTTGTGTGGCACTCATCGGTTGAGCGATGGGAGGGCTTGTGTTTAATTAAATTCTCTTTACGGCTAAACCTCTTCGCACAACCACTAAAATCGCATACAAAGGGTTTGTCGGGTGTCTTATCAGCCAAACCTCTGGAAACACTTCTGACATTAGCTGATTCGCCGGTTATATCTCGTTGGACACCGGGGTCGCCGGCGTGTACTCGCAACTGATGTTCAATCAATTGTCGTTTAAAGTTAAACACATTATCACAGCCGTCGAGTCCACATTTAAGCTTAAAACGGCTGTCCGCATCCCTGTCCTCTGTGTGTCCACTGATATGTGCATTGAAATGGGTGTTAAGTTTAGTCTTATACTGACAACCCTTATGCGAGCACTTAATCCATGGTATGCCGGGAAAAGAACGGGGATGTAGACTAAGCTGGTGTTCCTTTAATTTGTTCTTATATTTAAACCATTGCTGACACCGGGAGACCTTACACTTGAAAGGGCGTTCCGTCGAGTGAATCCTATCGGGTTTCGTGTAATACCTGTGCATACCGTTTGCAGGTATTGTATGTCGGCTCGAGTGTCGCGTAAAGTCAGCCATAAGTTTAGTCCTATACTGACAGCCCTTATGTCGGCACTCAATCCACGGCACGTGCGGTAAAGTCTCGGGATGTCGTGCCTTTTGGTGAGTAATAAAACTATATTTCGATTTAAACATTTGATTGCATTCATTGACACAACACTTCAAATCGGATGAATGTGTCGATTGGTGTGCTTTGAAGTTATGCTTATATCGGGTCCAGTATTGGCATCGCTTAGCCTTACATGTGTAAAGCGGACGTTCCGGCGACGCGGAACCGGTAGTCTCGGGACAGTCATCGACAGTGGGCACCACTATTATATGCTTCAGTCGGTGTTCAATCAAATCCTCGACACTACTAAACCCGTCGACACATCCGTCATAATTGCATAGAAACTGTTTGTCAGCACTTATTACCACTATTTCTTCCGAAGAATTGCTGCCATCGATTGTCTTCGCATTTGATTCGTTGCCATCACTTTGACTATCACTCGAAAGGTTCAATTGAGCCGTTGTTTCGTCGCTATCTTTATGACTGCTTTTAAATACTTTGATTTTTCTACGAGTGTTTGTCTTATACGGCTGTCCAAAGGATTTGCAGTGTTTTCGGGACTGGTGTGCCTTCAGGGACGCGGGACTCGCAAATATCGCAGAGCAGCCCCTCTTATCGCACCGGTAGATCTCGTCCGAGTGCCGGTGCTTGTGGTCCTCTAACTGGTGCTTGAGTTTAAATTGTCTCCAACAGCCGTTCCAATCGCACACATACTGTCCACTCGTCCTATTAATAGCCTCAATATTCTTAGCGTTTGTTTCGCTGTCAGCGTTTGATTGCGAGACTTCCAGCACTTCATTATTGTCTCCCTTTTCATCGACACTCACTTCACTCGATAAGACATGTCTATCGCAGTCTGTGTCGACATCGGACTCGTCGTCCAAATTGATGACCACTTCCTCCCCAGACTCTCGATTGTCTTGTGTTTCATGATTAGTCTCCAAGTTTTCACTTGTAATCATCAGCTCATGAGTTGTTTGACAACCGATTGATTTGTTAAAAGCCTTATCACTTCTACTCGTGTCATGTGTTTCAGTCAACTCTTCACTCAATTCATTATTATTTTCATCATTTCTTGTAGTCGTCCACTGATCCACGGATTCATAGCTCGTTTGACAACCGATTGAAATGTATTTTTCAATCAAACACTCATTGCTTGTGGTGTCCTCACTATCATCTATCGCTTCATTCAATAGATCCTTGTTTTCATCGTCTAATTCGCTGCCATCGACTTCAGTGTCTTCACCACTGGACTCATCCACGGATTCATCACATGTTTGACAACCGATTGAAACATAGCTTTCATTGATTTCTAGTTTACAATAAAATGCATAAAAAATAAAGTTTTTAATTGAATTCAAAGTGTTTTGTTAAATAGACATAAAACTTAATGCTAACTATTAATACACATTGACTTACTGTTTGACAATTCATTCACTTTTATATCGTTTCCTAATAAAACAAAACTACTTTTAATGCCTTTTAAAGCATTGATTTTCTGAATGAAATCATTTTCACTGTTTGTGTCAATCGTTTCATTCAAATCTCCCAAAAAATGCAAATACTTTTGGCATTCATTNATGCATTTATGCTTAAAATCAACTCTTGTCGACACAAATGAGACCACACATCACCACCAATTGATCCCATATTGTGATCATTGTCCAGACACAACCACTAATGCCAGTAAAACAAAATTAGCAAGGTTACATGAATTTAACTGTAAAATGTATAGTACTGTACATTTATTGTCATTAAAAATTATATTATTGGTCATAAAGTGGATCACATGGTAGCATCATTACCATTGGTTACATCAATCGTAAACAAAACATCAGTATTAAAAGGTACCAGATGTTAGGCTAAATACTCCATACAACTTACACTAATCTAATATAACCAATATTTTGTCCTTTTTGTATAGAAATAACAATTTAAAGCCCAATCTGGCGCAAAAACCATTTATTGCAAAAAATGTATAGAAAACATCAAAAAGTTTTTAAAAAACAACTTTTGGTTTAAATTAAAGTAAATTATATCAAAAAAATGATTTGATTGCGTGTATATATGATATTCAATGTATTTAAAAATACTGAATTCATTGCAAAACAATTTTTAAGTATTTAAAAAATACAATTCATTAAAACTGAACGTTTGTCTAAATAAAACTCGTTTGTTGTAAACATTATTTTGCAGTCAAAACAAAATTCATGTGATTTACAAGACTCCAAGTCATAACACACAATATTATCAACGATTACTTATTAGGCCTACAGTTCCTCACAGACACAACTGCCACGCATTGGACTTCTAGCCATTCATTAAATGTTTTCGGTTTTGATTTGTTTTAGCAATACTTCAGACATTAGTTTAAAGTCCGACGTCGCAGCAGTCGTCTCGTTGTTATTACTATTGTTATTGCAATTACTGTTGAACTCAATGATATTGTCGTCAATTGACTCCTGTATTACATTCACTGCAAACAAAAATAAAATAAAAATCAATTAAACTATTAATTCACAACAAAACACATTCAATATACCGGTCATAGTGTCAATCGGTTCCTGTTTGACATCCACTGAAACATTAAAAATACAATAATTTAGTCATTAAAACACTACTAATTCGTGTATTTAATAACACCATTACCTTTCATCTCATCATCAAATACAGGCGCCGGAACACCGAAGTCTTCAGCCAATAAGTGCTCCTTTAAGTGCACATCTAATACACTCTTAATGGGAAAAGTTTGGTCACACCCCTCCCAATCGCATCGGTAGGGTATGGCCTCACATGTGCGACGAGTATGAGCTTTCATATGCAGTTTAAGTGCTTTCTCACTATTAAACACTCGTCGACAGGCGTCCCAATCGCACCACCAGTCCTTACTTTTGGCGCCGCACTCGTCGGGATGTCGTTTCTTCTGGTGGGCCATGAGTGCCGTCTTAGAGCCATACACTTTGCGGCACTCATTGATCCCACACTTCAACCGACTGTCCTCTGAATGGCTTAATTGGTGTTCATTTAAAATATGTTTAAATCTCGTCGTATAATCACATCCATGTCTATCGCACTGGTATTCCGATACATGAGCCACACTTCCGACAGATTTGACGCGTCTATCAGACAGGGAATTCTCGGGATGTCGTACCCTCTTATGGGCCGACAAATTACGCTCAAATCGCGTCGCGTAATCGCATCCATGGCTATCGCACCGGTATTTCCATTCCTTGACAGCGCGTGACATCTTCGCCGACTTGGGCCCGGGCGGGGACCTCACGGTCTTGTGTCTCGACATATGACTACTCATATAGATATTGCATTTACTCTGAAACAGACAGTCCTTATAGCGGCAGTCGATCCACGGTATGTCAGGGAAAGAGTGCGGGTGTTTGCGTTTGTGGTGGCCGTCCAACGCGTAACTCGTTTTGAACGCTTGGCCGCACTCTTTGATTTCGCACATAAACTGCCGATCCGTCGACTCAACCGTCGAGGAGTCGTCAGACTTGTATAGACGATATAGAGTATGCGATATAGGCTTAAGTTGAGGGCCTGTATCCGGTACAGCCTTCGCAGACTTCTTGTGATCGTTGGCTACGTGTCTATTGAAATCCGCTTTCATTTTAGTCCTAAACCGACAGCCGGTTCGCTGGCACTGAATCCATGGCACGTCCGGCAACTCCTTGGGATGTCGGCGCTTCTGATGTGAACGCAAACTATGCATTGAGTCAAACGTTTCGTCGCAACCATTGACCGGACACTTGTGTTGAAAATCTGTCGGCTTATCAATGGCTACGCCATGGCTTCGATCCGACTTAGAGATGGTCACAAAGCGAGGCACAGGCGGTACAGTCATCGGTAGAGTCCTCTGCACCCTCCTCTTTACCACCAACTCATGCATGCGTTTGTGGTAAACATAACTCTCTTCGTTGGCAAACCATTCGCCGCACTCTTTGTATTTACAGACAAACCAATCGTCAAACAGTTTATTATCACCACTCGATTGACTCGTTATGTGTTTGTCATCCACACTATTACTCTTTATCTTATCATTTAATCCGTGGCTAACATCACATTCGTCGAGGACTTTAAATTCTTTAGCATCTCTTTGACTATCTTTCGCCACATTCTTCTGAACCATTGTTTTACTACTTTTAGGTTCGCTTTCAATAGATTTCGGTTTAATTTCACTAGTTTTGGGCTTAATTTCAATTGAATTTCGTTTGTTTTCAATAAGTTTCGGTTTCTTTCCAGTGGTTTTCCATTCAATCACTTCTATATTGTTTTCAATTCGTTTGGCTTTACTATCAATGAGTTTGTGTTGCCTTTTGGTGTTAGCCTTCAAACTCTTGGCTATAGTCCTCTGAAACCCTTTACCCTTTGTGGCACATCCCTGTCCATCAGCTCTGGGCTGCGTTCGCGACTGATGTACCTTCAGATACACGGGACTGGCGAACGTCGCCGAACACCCCCTCCTATCGCACCGGTAGGTCATACCCCTGTGCAGCAGTTTATGGGCCTCTAAATGGTGT